ACTCACTGCGGGGGGCAGCCTCTGCGCATGTGTGGCCAGTACGAGGACTGCTATGAAAATTTACCGAGTGAAGGCGCAGGGACGCACCAACACCTAGAGTGGAGCACCCACAGGGACATCTCTCTCGAAGAAGTTCAGATTATTTATCTATTTACTGTATATTTAGACTATCTGGGCTTTAGCAAAACAATTAGGAGAAGAACCTGTGGCATTACGCCCCATATTCTTCATAGTAATACTATGATATGATAATGGCATAACTATGATGTATTTTATACAAGATAGGTCATATGAGATATAATTGAAAAGGTTATGATTCACTAAACATGACTATCCTATTTGTATGCTTGTATCATTTTGGTATCTGCAGTTAGGAATATTGTCTATGCATCTGTTACAAATGTGTTTACACCTGGGGAAAGCCCACTAGACAGAAAGCAATCAGTCTAGATGGCTGGCTGGGGAGGGCCATTAGGCAGAACAATAGGTCTTAGAAGATGCTTATCTCCCACCAGGGAGCCTGCCTGGGGAGTCTTCCTGAGGATGGTACAAACAGCCTCTGACTCATGGCTGCTATGGCCCTACAGAGGCATCTGACCAAGTCACCTGGTACTGGACTCCATCATAGAATACCAATGTTTTTCCACGGGGGGGGGGGGGGGGGGGGGGGAAGGAGAGATAGCTCAGTGCTTTGAGCATTGGCCTGCTAAACCCAGGGTTGTGAGTTCAATCCTTGAGGGGGCCACCTAGGGATCTGGGGCAAAATCAGTACTTGGTCCTGCTAGTGAAGGCAGGGAGCTGAATTCAATGACCTTTCAGGGTCCCTTCCAGTTCTATGATATAGGCACATCTCCATATATTATATTATTTTATCATTACTAAACAATTGGAGACAAAGGGTTCCCGCCATATGCAAAAGCTATTTAAGGCAGGGGAGTGACATCAGGTTTGTTCTTCACTGACTCCCCGCCCAAGAAAACTGCTGGAAATGCCCGAGAAACAAGGACTGAACTGGGGGAGAAGGGCTGAACCCAGGCTAGAGGGATTTCTAGTCTGTGAAAGGAATACCTGGGGTTTGAAGCTGCAAGCAAGTGTACCTTGCCCTCAAGAATCTCTGCAAACTGCTTAAATCATCATTTAATATATTAAGCTTAGATTGTGTTTTTTTTTTTATTTGCTAGGTAATCTGCTTTGATCGATTTGCTATCCCTTATAATCACTTAAAACCTATCCTTTGTAGTTAATATATTTATTTTTGCTTGGTCTAAAACCAGTGTGTGGAAATCATAATGGGGGTGGGGGAAGGGGGGGCAGAAAACTGTTGCATATTTTCCTGCACATTGAGGGAGGTGGGCAAATTTCATGAGCTTGCGCTGTACAGTTCCCTGTGAAGTACAAGACAGTATAATTTTGGGTTTACTCTCCAGAGGGGGGTGCACGCCTCGGTAGCTTGTAAGTGCCTTAGCTAAATAGCCTTCCCATGCAGGGGTTGGTTATAAAGCCTGTTTGCATGTTACTACAGCTGGATAAAAACAACAAGGAGTCCGGTGGCACCTTAAAGACTAACAGATTTATTTGGGCATACGGTTTCGTGGGTAAAACATCCACTTCTTCAGATGCATGGAGTGAAAATTACAGGTGCAGGCATTATTATACTGACATATGAAGAGAAGGGAGTTACCTCAGAAGTGGAGAACTAGTGCTGACAGGGCCAATTCGATCAGGGTGGATGTGGTCCACTCCCAATAAATGATGAGGAGGTGTCAATATCAAGAGAGGGAAAATTGCTTTTGTAGTGAGCCAGCCACTCCCAGTCCCTATTCAAGCCCATATCAATGGTGTTAAATTTGCAAATGAATTTTAGTTCTGCAGTTTCTCTTTGAAGTCTGTTTCTGAAGTTTTTTTGTTCAAGTATGGCTACTTTTAAATCTGTTACAGAATGTCCAGGAAGATTGACGTGTTCTCCTACTGACTTTTGTATGTTACCATCCTGATGTCAGATTTGTGTCCATTTATTCTTTTATGTAGCTGGATGTGTCCCTACCTGTGTGCTGATGAAAGTGCGAAACCGGGAGCTTGTCACAGCATTACAGGGTGAATGGGAGCCCAGGCTGATGGGTTGGGGGGCTCAGTGGTACCCCAGTCCCAGGCACCTATAACAGTGCCTACCTCTTTAAGTTGAAGAATGGTGCGCTCAATGTCACCTATACTGGGTGGAGATAGAGCTGTTGCCAATAAAGCTCTTGGTTCCCCCATGTCAAGCAATTTAACCTTTAAGACTGTACTTCCTAATGGACATCGCTGAAAGGAAAAATAAATTGGGAAATGTTAACTTCTGCCATTTGTGAAAAGATAACTCACTTAACTCGCTATATGGAATGTTTCCTTTTATAAAAGATACATTTTAGATACATAGACAGCCAAATAAATCTATTAGATAATTGAACTGTATTTCCCACAGTTAAGGATAGAGTCTACTTTTGCCAGGCTACCAAACCATTCAAGATAATGAAGTTTTATTGACCTGATATGCCTTCCTCTACAAAGAGAAAATGGTTAACACAACAGGTCTATTTTTCCAGTAGAAGTATCCTGAAAGTATTATTTTACCAGCTTTGTTCTATATTACTAAATATTAGTCAAATTACTAGCTACTACTCCAAAACGTCAATCATTTTTACACTCCTTGAACAGGTGAATAACTTTCATTATACATTACCTTTAACAACAATGTAGCCACACTTACCACTTGTATCACTAAATATAGATAAAATCATATTACAAAAATTACATTTGAAAATAATTCTTACCAGCATCTCAGGTAGAGCATTCTCCGGTATATAGTTTGTCCAGAAGTCCTTGTGTACAAGCCTATAACAGTACCCTTTGGAAACACGCCCAGCCCGGCCTTTAAATAATACAGCAGATTAAGGCATGGTTTGGCACTGATTTGTAAACTGACAATCTCAGACTTAAACATGTTATACTAAAATTAAGAGATTCATTCTCACACACACACAAAATATTTCACTACAAGACAATGTAGCAAAGCTAACAGTGAGTAAAACTCAAAGAAGGAAATTCAAATTGAAAATCCCATCTAAAGTCTAATTCCCCATCTTATGCAGCAACTGCAGAATGAATCCTATGAGATCCAAAGTCAGGATCTGGAAGATGGGAGTAAGGACAACTAGTTATTAGTATGCTAGCCTGGAACTTGGGAGATTTGGACTGAATTTCTTGCTCTGTCACAGACCCGTGGAAGATGGGCAAATCACTTCGTCTCTGGCCTCAGCATCCATCCATAAAAATTGGAATAAACGCACTTCCCTGCCTCACCAGGGTGTTGCCAGGATAAATATATTAAAGAGTGTGTGGCAGTCTCAAATATTACGGTTGCTATAAATACCATAGAAAGATGGGATTAACCAAGAACCCACCTAACCCTTGAAGTGTATGAGCCATACTGAGTACATCTGTTTGTTTTGTATAGTACTATCTGGCTTCATACTGTATCACTTTGTGGCAAAATGTGCACAAGTCCTGAACCTGCAGTGAGCAACCTGCAAAGCTCATTGCAGGATCAGCACCTTAGTCTAAGCTTTTTGGAACTGGGATTTCTTAGGCACGCTTCCTCTATTGCACAACACCTAGTACACTTATAATTCATGGATTTCATATAATACGAACAGAGTGAACATTGTTTGAAAAAAGCCTATGCAGCATGTTAAGTTTCCACATTTATATGCATACAGAACAGGAAATGACAAAGTGTTTCAGTAAGACTTAGGCTCCTAAATCACTTCTGAAAATGGGAGTTAGGCTCCTTAGTCACCTGAGCACTTTTGAAAATTTCACCTTAGAATTTAATCATCCTCCCATAAAAAAAAAAACTGTAAGAAAAAAAATTCTGCTAGAAATTAAGGACTTCATTTCATTCTCCCCTTTGAAAGGAAAAGGGGTTCTGACCTTGCACTGGGATAGAGGGTCTGGGTCTGTAAATACCAAATGGAGTTTATGGCTCATTAGGAAAATAAAAGCACATTTGCACAGATCAGAGGGTATCATGCAGGGAGCTGGCTTCCTTTGTTGATACACCTAAACATCATACTCCTGGCAACATGGTTCTCATGAGCCCTGCTATCACTGATTCTCCACTTCTTGAGCATAAAGGATAAGTTAGCTGTGATTGCAGCAGTTTTAATTCCCAGCATGGTTTTTCTCTTGGAAATCTGCAAGATCCAGAGAGGAGCGCTAGGAATAATTCTTATCTTGCTACACTCTCCTGACCTGCATATTACCAATCATGCAATATGCTCACAGAGAGGTTTGCTGAAAGCTTGAGGGGTGGAAGAAGGGTTCAAAGTTCTCTTTTTTAATTATTATTTAATTAAAGCATTCCTATTGATATCTGATTTTGTAAACTAAGACCTAAAACCCAAATGTAGTAATATAGTGCCTAAACTACCTGATGTCCCTGTATATTTTATTCCTGCAGGCTGCAATTAAGCATCTAAGTCTTGTCTATATTTGCATATTTTGGGGAATTCTTTCACAACTGCACCACGAACACTAGTTCAGCTCCACTGGTGGGAGTTCTAGTTTAGGCACTGGTTAGACACTTTTAATCCCTACACCATTAAACATTTCTTAAAAGCAATAGTGAAAAATTTCACCAAAAAAAAGGTGATATAGTGGTTATACTTTCTTATTTTTTAATAACAGTGAACTATAACTTCTGATTTTTCCATTGTACATGGAACTGACAGGATCAAGATTGTCATGCTGAAAATTACACCAAGCCACTACTGTAGTTTTGGTTGGCTGGAACATACAGTACTGTTCTTCCATTCAGCAAGCCTGCTATTTTTGCAAGAAGAGCAACATTCTAGAACATTTAATTGCCATTCCCCGTGTACAGGAACAGAACTGGCAGACAAAGCAGAGGGACAATGCAAAATGCATGTAACTATCACACAAATCCAAGGCCCTGGGGCTGTATTGTAGCATCTAAGCAGAATATTTTGTATGTTATCCATGCTGTAGCCTTTGTTTTCAAGAATGTATCAATTTTCCAGGATCAGTATGGAAATACACATTTAAGGTAAGTTTGGCAATGTTTAATCTGAGGAACTCTGTGTCCCATTTTAATAATAGACACTATCACACTTTTGGTGCAAATAAATTTTGCTAAAAAAAGCAAGGCAGTCATTTTAAATTTATCCAGAGAACACAGTGTATGAGTTAAGGAAGGAGTAAATACCTTACTTTAAAAAACAGAATTCTGCTTTTAAAAGCAAGTACAAGCTAAAGCTACATTATTCTAAAAGTATAATAAGCAATCCTCCCAAATTTTAGGGTGTTATGCAAGTTTCCATATGAAAAGTACTTCTGAAATAAAAAGAAAAACATTATTCGGGCAATATGTATCAACATATTTACGAAATCACATTTGAATATCCTGGAACAGTGACAAATCAAATTACCCAAAAGCGACAATAGACCTACACACAAAGGAAAGATAAGTAAAAAGGCCGTTTCACATAAATATTAATGGTGCTAAAAGCCAAGGCACAACTCCTATGCCATATCTAACAAGTTTCTCTGAAGCTTCTTAACATAAGACTATTGTTGCCTTACCTTTCCTCTGATTACAGCTAGTCTTAGAAGCCCAACAAAGTCTCAGGCTCTGATAATTAGTGTCTTCATCGCAAACCAGAGTTCTAGTCAAACAGAAATCGATGACTGCAATTTAAAACAAAACAAAACAAAACAAAAACACAGTAATTCAAGTATTGCACGGAGGACAATAAAACAAATATTGGTTGATTTTGTGTAGCCTAAAGGATAATCTTAAATGAAAAAAAACGCAATGAATTGAAAGAAAGTGGGCTAAAGCTCTACATACACACAATTACACTTGGAATAGTCTGAATGTCTACAGTAGAATTCCGAACTAGAATTCCAGTGTTTACTTTGAATTACAACAGAAACTTAGCGCACACTGGATGATATACATACAAAGCAGCCATTTCTGTATTTGGATATCTTAACCTAATACTTCTGTTTTATCTGCTAAATTTCTTTTAAAAATAAAGCACTAACAATGTGAACAAAAGAAGTAAATCACTTGTAAGATATAAGATATAATGAGGATGCAGTGTGGAGAATATCCACCAGATTGTGATGTGTATCTGTTACCTCCTGCAGGGGAATCTGCAGCTCATCCACTACCCTCTTGGTAAGATCCCAAAATCAGCTAGTAATGGAGGAGGGGCATTACAGCTTCCTCTAGCGAAGACAAGGAGAAGCTTCCGGAGGGGAAGCTTCCCCTTTGAGCCCTTCCTCCTGTTCTTCCAAAGTTTCTTCCTCCGCCGACTCATGGGCTTTGGACAGTGACATTGTAGGAGACCGTCTGGCAGACGCTCTCTGAGAGACACTAGATTCCCGTGAAGTATAGCATCCCTAGGTGTTGACTCTGTGGGTGTTCTGGGGCTGGAGCACCCACGGAGAAAAATGGTGCGAATCAAACAGTATCCGTTGGCCTCTATAGGGGGGCAGTATACCCATTTCTCAGTCCTAGATTTAAAAGATGCTTTTTTCACGATTCCAGTCGACACCCAATCTCAGGAGATATTCTCCTTTGAGTGGGAGGACAACAGAAGGGTTAAAAAGCAACTTTGCTGCACGGTATTGGCCCAGGGATTTAAAAATCCCCCCACTCTTTTCGGCCAGGCTCTGGCCAGAGACTTGGAGGAGTGGAATAATTCGGACAGAGTCCTCCTCCTGAAATACGTAGATGACTTGCTAATTGCTGCTGTGGGTCCCCTCAGGACATTTTTGGGCATGGCAGACTTTTGCAGAATATGGATCCCAGAGTACAGACTGTGGGCTAAACCTCTGTATGAATGTTTTAAGAAAGCGGATCATGACCCTTTTCACTGGTCCCCAGAAGCGAACAGGGCATTTAAAATCTTAAAAAGGAAGTTGATGGAAGCCCCAGCCCTGGGTCTGCCGGATCTCTCTAAGCCGTTCCAACTGTATGTGCATGAAAGAAAAGGGGTAGCCCTGGGAGTGCTTACTCAGTTATTAGGCCCCTGGAAACGTCCTGTGGCATATTTCTCTAAACAACTGGATCAAGTTGCAAAGGGGTGGCCAGCATGCTTGTGGGCAGTCGCAGCCATTGCCCTAGTGCTTGGGGAAGCTGAAAAACTGACACTGGGAGGAACTGTGCAAGTGTATATTCCCCATATGGTCCAGGCCCTGCTGGACACTAAGGGTGGTCTCTGGCTCACCCAGGCTCGGGTTGCTCGGTACCAGGCAAAACTGTTAGAGAACCCTGAAGTTACCCTGCAAACCTGTCCCTCCCTTAATCCAGCTACCCTGCTACCAGAGACAAAAAAGCAGGAACATGACTGTCTGGAAATCATAGATGCCCAATACTCCAGCCACCCAGATTTAAAAGATCAACCACTCCCAAATGCTGACTTGGAATGGTATACCGTTGGCAGTAGTGCCGTTGTGGATGGGCAAAGAAGGGCGGATTATGCTTTTGTGACACTCCATGATACCGTGGAAGCTGAGAGTTTACCTGCTGGGACATCTGCCCAGCTTGCTGAACTAGTGGCCCTGACTCGTGCACTCGAGCTGGCAAAAAACAAACGGGTTAATATCTTTACTGACTCAAAGTATGCTTTTGGGGTATTGCATGCTCACGCTGGTCTGTGGAAGCAAAGGGGAATGCTGACAGCCAAGGCTCCCCGGTTAAGCATGGGTCTCAAATTCTCCGGCTTTTAGAAGCGGTACAACTCCCCTCAGCAGTAGCAGTGATGCATTGCAAAGCCCATCAAAAGGAAGATCAAGATGTTACCAAGGGCAATGCCAGAGCAGATGGGGAAGCCAAGTGCGCCGCTACCCTGAAATCACCAACAGAGGAGAATGCCCAAATGCATGCCCTCATCCCATCAGTAGGTGAGCTTGCAGCCCCTCAGTACTCCCATGATGACAGAAACCTGGCTGACAGGCTCGGTCTCCAGGAAAAGGAGGGATGGCTTTATTCCACAGAGGGAAAAATCCTTCTGCCCAAGGGCCTGATTCGACCAGTGTTGCAAAAACTTCATCAAACCACTCATGCAGGCAGAGAGGCTCTTACCCAGCTTATGAATAAATATTTTCTAACTTCTGGACTTAAACCCCTAGCATCCCAGGTACAGGCTGAATGTTTAATCTGCCAAAAGAATAACCCTCGACCAGGAGTAGCAGCATTGCCAGCCACCCTGGAACCTACCCCAGGCCCAGGATTGATGTGGCAAATAGACTTTACTGAGTTTCCCATGACCCAAGGGTACAGGTACCACCTCGTCATGGTGGATCGATTCAGGGGATGGCCCGAAGCCTTCCCATGTCGTAACAACACTGCCAAAACGGTGGCTCTTAAGTTTGTCAAGGAGATCATTCCCCGCTTCGGACTTCCCCAGTGGATGGAATCTGATAACGGAACACACTTCACATCTCAAGTTGTTCAAAAGGTATCAAGTGCCTTGCAAATCCCCTGGAAGCTCCACACACCATGGCGACCACAAGCCAGTGGAGTAGCGGAATGCACAAATCAGACACTCAAGCAACACCTCTCAAAGGTCTGTCAGGAGGCCTCTCTTAGGTGGCCTGATGCTTTTCCCCTTGTGTTACTCCGCATTTGTGCTCTCCCCAAGGGCAGGTTAGGGCTTAGTCCCTTTGAAATCATGTTTGGAAGGGCATGGCCTCTGAACGGTACTCCGGCTCTGGCAGGAGAGTGGGAAATGGGGTGTGGGTTCTTGTCTCAGTACATGTGCTCTCTGTCTGCTGTTCTTTCTTCTCTTCACAGATACACCAAAGATTCACAGCCTCTTCTGCTGGATACCCCGGTCCACTCCCTGCAACCTGGTGACTCCGTTCTCGTGCGGACCTGGAAGGACGAGCCTCTCCAAGAGAAGTGGAAGGGATCCCACACCGTCCTGCTGGTCTCCCACACGGCAGCAAAGGTCGAAGGGCACAAGAACTGGATTCATCACTCTCGACTGAAAGCAGTACCCACTCCTGAACAGTGGATTGTCCAGCCTGCAGAAAAGACTGCCAGCGACGATTTGGGACTTAAGCTGTTATTCAAAAGACAGTAAGGGTAGCCGGGAATGCCTGGTGATCTCTTTGAACAGCCACAGCGCACTCTCCGCGAAAACCCTGAGCATTGGTTCTATCTATTCACAGAAGGCCGACCTAGCCTATGGTCCTGGTCCTTTTATTTTTTTATTTGTTTGGTGTCACTGATTTTTATCTTCTGGGCATTTGGGTTGTTGTAATCACAATATGGGTTCAGGTTTAGGGTCTCTCACAACATTCCTTTTTGTCACAGAAGCAATCCTTCTGTTACCTACTGTTTCACCCACATCGCATGCAGGATGGGGAGCCATCCCTGCAGATATGGCTACCAATACCTATGAGGCCCTAAAAATTGCCTTTGCCCGTGAGCTCAATCTCTCCCACTGTTGGATATGTGCCCAAACTCCCCACCATTTAGCTGGATTGCCCTGGAGAGTAGTTCCCCAAAATTGGTCAGATTTTTGTGAAAGGTGGATGGTTACCAGCAGCAGCACCTCTGACAATTTAAGTTTGCGATCCAACTGTACCGCGGAAGCTCCGTATGGCCTACACAATGGCTCTTGGAATTCCCACTATAGTAGCACTCTTAAGCCCCAGCCCATTCGTTTACGCTCTCCACCCACTGGTCTCATATGTTTTCAGCAAGCCAGTACAAGTAATCATACCTGGTTTGCCGGCATTAGTACATGTAGATTTTATATTGGTCCTGGTATAAGTCTCACTATCCCTGTACTAAATGCCACCGATTGGCAAACCGGCACTGCATTTTTTGCCCTTTCCTCACAAGCCACTCTACGGGACCTACAAGGTAACAATGGAAAGGTTAGTTATGGTGAAGCATTCTGGGTTTGTGGTAATAGTGCCTACAAATGGCTTCCTCATGGTTGGCATGATAGCTGTTATAAAGGCTATCTCGCTCCTCCCCTCCATGTTCTAATCCAGGCTCCCGCAGGTCGCCCTAGGTACTATCGGTCCTTGGGAGCTACCATTGAACCCATCGGTGAGGGAGACAGGTTTGGAATTATATTCATCCCTACTTATGGGGTGGGACGGCTAACCCAACTCTACAGGCGACTTTCTAAATTTCTCACCCAGTTTGCCAATGATACCCTGGCCATAGAAAAAGGCATAAGTTCCGAGCTGTACCAGCTTCGATTGATGGCCCTGCAAAACCGCCAGGCCCTAGATTATGTGTTAGCCTCACAGGGTGGGGTCTGTGCCCTTATTGGAGAAGAATATTGTACCTATGTCCCAGAGTTTTCACAGAATATTAACAAGCACATCTTGTCAGCCGAACAGGCCTTGAACCAGTGGAAGGCCCAGGAAGGGGAACCCACTATTTTTGATTCCCATTGGGGTTGGTTACCTGGTCTAGGGGGACTAGGGGAAGGCATTGTTCGCCTCCTGCTCACAGGTGTT